GTCATCATATCTTCAGCCAGGTTATTGCGACTCATCGTCTGAATATAATGTGTGAATTAGGGTAGGAAGTTCATTATACACCACCTGTACAATGCTTGAAGACACCTACGGGAGGAGGTTGCTGCTTTCAGGAGGACTGTGTGTATGTGAGGCTTGAATCATCTCATTATCTGCGCCGTCATCTGCCGGTAACCTGCTCCACGGAGGTGTAAAGCAGAGCAGCAGCAGCAGCAGGAGCAGCAAGAGTCATACGATTAACTGCCGCTCCTGCTGCAGGCCAGGCGAGGGGACTTCAGGGCAAGAATGGCATATACCAAAGGGCTGGAGTGCCCCCCCCACCCTTACCTTGAAGCCTCTGCGCCCCGCACGAAGGTCAAATTAAAATTTATGGATCTCGCAAATCTCTCCCGAGCCCCGTGGAAACAAACTGGAAGGGGAAACTTTGATATGTTGTCAGGCCCAACAGTCAATATTGCCTGCAAGTTCAATGGCAACAGGCAGGGGGCGCAATTTTTTTTTTAGGCTGATTCGAATTTGCTTAAGACTCGCAAGAAATGGGAAAGGAATTGGGATTATAGGAAATGGCTGCGGTAATTAGTGTTCACTTTGTACAGTAATTATCGCTCTCTCTTATTCTTCTTTATTCGTTCATTTCTATAGTGATATTGTAACATCAGAAGCGCACACACACACACACACACACACACACACACAACACACACAACACACACACACACACACACACACACACACACACACACACACACACACACACACCTGTTGATTGACGGTTGAGAGGCGGGACCAAAGAGCCAGAGCGCAATCCCCGCAAGCACAATTAAGTGAGTACACACACACACACACACACACACGTATAATAATATCGTTTACAAACCCAAATCAGGACTCCTTCAAGGCAATCTACACAACATATGTCAGACCAATACTAGAATATGCAGCACTGGAATAGAATCCACACCTTGTGAAGCATAAAGCCTAAAGTGAAAGAAGTACAAGGGTTTGCAACAATACTGGTTCCCGAGCTAAGAGGCTTAAGCTATAAGAGTAGCCTAGTGGAACTAAATCTCACAATCCTAGAAGATAGGAAGAACAGAAGAAATATGATCATAACATAAGATAATTAGGGGAATAGATAAGATGAACATGGACAGCCTCTTCTGATTGTGAGAAAGCAGGACAAGAGGACACAGGTGGAAGCAGGAAACACAGAGAAAGCAGGACAAGAGGACACAGGTGGAAGCAGGAAACACAAATGAGTCAAAGGAATGTGAGGAAATACTGGTACCGGGCGGTCAACAAGTGGAATGTACCATAGGAAGAAATTGCGGAAGCCACCTCCAGCCACAACTATAAGGCCAAATTCGACGAATGGAATTTGAACATCAAAACAGTTCCATTGTAACGCAACAGGTACACCAAGGCTGGTAGGCTGGGTATGCAGAGCAAGACTTCACTTCCCCCTTAGTCACTGATAAGTAAGCATGCCTCACCTCACACCCCTCCTCGCTAACTCTCTCACCACACACACACTCACACTCAACAACTGCGCCCCTCGCCAGCAGGAATATTATCGTGACTACAGGTGTTCCCAGCAGTTTATACCTCCTGCCGGTGCCTGTGTTTACACCAGGCACCACCCGCACCCCTCACTTCACCGGAGGGGGCCATCTTGAAACACCCCTCTCGTTGCTTACCTCTTGCTTATCTCCCCTTTCTTCCCCTCCCCTTGACGGGAGAAGGGAAAAAAGGCAGAGTAAATAACAGGGATCTGGTTCCCTTTTTTCCCGCCTTTTCCGTCCGCCTGTCCTTCCCTTTATAAACCTACTCTCCCCCTTTGAACACTTGTGTTTTCATAGTCGGTGTGCGGGCAGCGTGCTCCAGCAACACAAAGGGTGGTGGAGTGTTGCTTGTGAGGCACTTCTTCTTGCTAGAAGATTAGAGACAAAGAGTGTTGGATCATCTATTAAAGATACACACTGGGATGCTGTTGGGATACAAAGGCAATCCCCTCCGGTTTGCGTTTGTTAATCACTCGAGCCACCATGGCAAACCTGACCTTGCAGTTAGAGGAAAATATGTGTGCTGATGCCTAGAGTGTACCGTTTGTCATTTAACATGTCGGCTTTTACATTTTCTGCCACGTCTACTTAAGTCTACCCATCTCCAGATTTCCCCATTTTCTATTAACTCTTGTGCCTTTCCCTCTGCCTTTTGAGCTTGACTGGTTTCCAGGCAGGTTGTCTGGTCCTTCGAACCGGTTCCATAGATGCCGGCCAATCAAAAGTGCTGTGGATGCGTAGGCCCCCCCCCCCCTCCTCATCCGGGGCCTGCAGAGGGCAGTGTGTCGAGGCCTAAACTGCCTCTGATAGGCTAATAATTACTACCACTTAATTAATGGTTTGTTGCTGTCAGTTTATATTTAGATAGAGAAAACGGGAATTATGTAGAGAAAGAGAAAACGGGAATTATGTAGAGAATTCAGTGTTGTGAGATTGTCTCCTTTTTGCGTCCTCGCTATCCTCCCTCACAATCCTCTCTATTTACCTCACAATCGTTACTACTTGCCTCACAATCCTTTCTCCTTACTTCAAATTCAGCTCTCCGTACCTCACAATCCTATATCCTTACGTCACAATCTACTCTCGTGAGAGGTCTGAGAGGAGAGGTAGTAAGAGGAGAGGTAGTGAGAGGAGAGGTAGTGAGAGAAGAGGTAGTGAGAGAAGAGGTAGTGAAAGGAGAGGCGTGAGAGGAAGGTGAGCAAGTTAGCGGTGATGGACCAAGTTAGACCACCTCATTAATGTGTGTCACAAAGTTGACTTATCCCAACTTCCTGTGATGCCGCCCAGGTGCCAGGCTCAGCTGGCACTTCCTAGGTGCCAGGCTCAGCTGGCACTTCCTAGGTGTCAGGCTTAGCTGGCATTTCCTAGGTGCCAGGCTCAGCTGGCACTTCCTAGGTGTCAGGCTTAGCTGGCACTTCCTAGGTGCCAGGCTCAGCTGGCACTTCCTAGGTGTCAGGCTCAGCTGGCACTTCCTAGGTGCCAGGCTCAGCTGGCACTTCCTAGGTGCCAGGCTCAGCTGGCACTTCCTAGGTGTCAGGCTTAGCTGGCACTTCCTAGGTGTCAGGCTCAGCTAGCACTTCCTAGGTGCCAGGCTCAGCTAGCACTTCCTAGGTGTCAGGCTCAGCTAGCACTTCCTAGGTGCCAGGCTCAGCTAGCACTTCCTAGGTGCCAGACTCAGCTTGTGCCCTGGCTCTGCTGATCCAATTTTTATGTACATGACGGCTTTAAACCGAAAACAAGTACAATATATTTCAAACGAAATTTGTATGTGTTATTTTCCAAGTAAGAGGCGACTCCTGTCAAGACGACACCAAGAGTCGTCCAGCAGGTGATGACTCTTTGAGGACGACACATTTCGTCATCGTCGTTCAGTAATACACGACTCCTAAGAGGAAGAAAAAATGTGAGTGTGTGTGTGTGTGCGTGTGTGCGTGTCAAGAACACTCGCGTGACAACAGCCAGCTAGCCATAAAAGTTATATCCGTGATGCAAATACTCGAGGGTTGATATTGACAACTTATCAACTGCGAGCCCAGTCATGTAGGAACACTAGGAAACGACATTGCCGATGACACTTCAAACATGTCGGGACAGAAATGTTTGGGCACAATTCCTATCACCAAATTCCCCAGTTCAGTAACCAGATACCCCCATGAGTTAGTCAACTGTTGTGGGGTTACATCCTGGGGGAGGCGACAGTACTTCAGCCATGGGAAAGGGGGAGGGGGACCTCGATGTAAAGCGAATTAATAAAACAGATTAATTACATTATCGTCTGTAAAAGTGACAAGCAACAAACCGACACATAGTTGATATAGTGAAGCGTTTTAGGATGGTTAGTTTAACATGTGGGATAGCGGCTATCCCACATGTATCCCTCTCGTCCCCAGGGATAGAGCAGGCAGGCCATAGAGACTTTCTGGGAACTTGGAGTCATTGTCCTTCGTGCAAAAGGGCGTTGTTCAAGTTATATATTGGCCCGTCTCACCTGATATATTGGGTCATTGTGGGTGTGTTCGGGGGGACGACGTGTGGGGGGGGAGAGTGTGGGGGTGTGTTGGGGGAGGTGTGACACAGGTGGAGGTGGTGGTTACATTATTCAGGAATATGGACAAATGGAGTTCAGTGTTCCAGCGTAGTTATACATACAGACGTGTGTGTGTGTGTGTGTGTGTATACTCACCTAGTTGTGTTTGCGGGGGTTGAGCTCTGGCTCTTTGGTCCCGCCTCTCAACTGTCAATCTACTGGGGTACAGATTCCTGAGCCTACTGGGCTTTATCATATCTACATTTGAAACTGTGTATGGAGTCAGCCTCCGCCACATCACTGCCTAATGCATTCCATTTATTAACTACTCTGACACTGAAAAAATTCTTTCTAACGTCCCTGTGGCTCATCTGGGTACTCAGTTTCCACCTGTGTCCCCTTGTTCGTGTTCCTCCCGTGCTAAAGAGTTTGTCTTTGTCCACCCTGTCAATTCCCCTGAGAATTTTGTAGGTGGTTATCATGTCTCCCCTTACTCTTCTGTTTTCCAGGGATGTGAGGTTCAGCTCCTTTAGCCTTTCCTCGTAACTCATTCCTCTCAGTTCCGGGACCAGTCTGGTGGCATACCTCTGAATCTTCTCTAACTTCATCTTGTGTTTAAGTAGGTATGGACTCCAGGCTGGAGCTGCATACTCCAGGATTGGTCTTACATAAGTGGTATACAGGGTCCTGAACGATTCCTTACACAAGTTTCTAAAGGCAGTTCTTATGTTGGCCAGTCACACACACCGTGTGTGCGTGTAGTGAATACTAATGGTGGAAGTGGAGTGAGTAATCTCCAAATATTAAACAGGAACGTGGACCGCCTTCGACAGGGCGCCGGCCCTGGGAGCGTCGAAAACAAATCCCACCCGCCACTAACTCATGTTGTATGTATGCCCCATGCCCTCTACACCTCCACCTGCGTGCCCCATGCCCTCTACACCTCCACCTGCGTGCCCCGTGCCCTCTGCACCTCCACCTGCGTGCCCCATGCCCTCTACACCTCCACCTGCGTGCCCCATGCCCTCTACACCTCCACCTGCGTGCCCCATGCCCTCTACACCTCCACCTGCGTGCCCCGTGCCCTCTACACCTCCACCTGCGTGCCCCGTGCCCTCTACACCTCCACCTGCGTGCCCCATGCCCTCTACACCTCCACCTGCGTGTCCCGTGCCCTCTGCACCTCCACCTGCGTGCCCCATGCCCTCTACACCTCCACCTGCGTGCCCCATGCCCTCTACACCTCCACCTGCGTGGTCTATGCCGTCTACACCTCCACCTGCGTGGTCTATGCCCTCTACACCTCCACCTGCGTGCCCCATGCCCTCTACACCTCCACCTGCGTGGTCTATGGCCTCTACACCTCCACCTGCGTGGTCTATGCCCTCTACACCTCCACCTGCGTGGTCTATGGCCTCTACACCTCCACCTGCGTGGTCTATGCCCTCTACACCTCCACCTGCGTGGTCTATGCCCTCTACACCTCCACTTGCGTGTCCCATGCCCTCTACACCTCCACCTGCGTGCCCCATGCCCTCTACACCTCCACGTGCGTGGTCTATGCCCTCTACACCTCCACCTGCGTGGTCTATGGCCTCTACACCTCCACCTGCGTGGTCTATGCCCTCTACACCTCCACCTGCGTGGTCTATGGCCTCTACACCTCCACCTGCGTGGTCTATGCCCTCTACACCTCCACCTGCGTGGTCTATGCCCTCTACACCTCCACTTGCGTGTCCCATGCCCTCTACACCTCCACCTGCGTGCCCCATGCCCTCTACACCTCCACGTGCGTGCCCCATGCACTCTACACCTCCACCTGCGTGCCCCGTGCCCTCTACACCTCCACCTGCGTGCCCCGTGCCCTCTACACCTCCACCTGCGTGCCCCATGCCCTCTACACCTCCACCTGGGTGCCCCATGCCCTCTACACCTCCACCTGGGTGCCCCATGCCCTCTACACCTCCACCTGGGTGCCCCATGCCCTCTACACCTCCACCTGGGTGCCCCATGCCCTCTCTCTTCCCTTCTCTACTAATTCTTCCATCTGGGATATAGGAGAAAGAACATGGGGGCCCTGCATAAATCTACGGACAACGCTACCCGGGATTCAACCACTTTGAAATACAGTCTGTGCATGAAATTGTGAGTTATTGGTGGGGGAGCTGGGAGTGTGTGTGTGTTTGTGTGTGTGTGTGTGTGTGTGTGTTGTGTGTGTGTGTGTGTGTGTGTGTGTGTGTGTGTGTGTGTGTGTGTGTGTGTGTGTGTGTGTGTGTGTGTGTGTGTGTGTGTGTGCAGAATCGAGCTGTTAGCTGTTGGACCCCGCCTTTCTTACCAATCTATTTTTCCTTTATTATATCTGCTGCATATATTTCTAACACACACACACACACACACACACACACACACACACACACACACACACACACACACACACACACACACACACACACACACACACACACACACTTACACCCTCAAGACACATACCAACTAAAGGAATGTCAGGACGTTATTCTTTTACCTAATACGTCGCAATTTTTTTTGACGAAATAGACCAATCGGCTAACAAATGGAACGCATAACTTAAATATATAAAGCCCCGCAATATTGACGTTTTCTACACATTGGCCTCGATGGGTTAGGTAGGTGGCTTGGGTGCGTACAAGTATCTAGTTAGGCAAAACAGTTACATTTGTTACGCAGTGGGAAAACTAAGAGGATGTGTTGAATGGTAGGCACATGGAACTGCTTGAGGGCAATTCAAGGTGAATTGCCAAACACATATTTGAACAACTCGAAGGTAATTATGAATAATATTGCAAGAAAGAGGCGGGTCCAAGAGCTAATATCCTGTTTATTTAAAAGCACTATTACGTAAACACATATACAAACAGCGAGACACAAGGGAATGATATAGCTATGTATAGACGGGAAGATACAAGAAAATATTGTAAAAAAAAATCCAGAAATGTGAAAATAATCTTGGCATATTGTTGTTCTCAACCACATCATTGTGGCGTGATCAGTGGGACGAGGGAGCTCGTTATGCCATAGTGTCTTGGGAGGCTTCGTAATTAGTGATGTCTCGGAGGGTGATGTCAGGTCGTTAGTGGCTTCCTCTGGGGTGGGGGTGGGGCAAGATGCTGTCCTCATCTCTCATGGGTCTTTGACTTATTCTCTCTCTCTCTCTCTCTCTCTCTCTCTCTCTCTCTCTCTCTCTCTCTCTCTCTCTCTCTCTCTCTCTCTCTCTCTCTCTCTCTCTCTCTCTCTCTCTCTCTACGTTGACACTCCTGTTAGGTCTATAACTCCTGTTGAACGAGTAATTACGTTTCTTGGACCAGTAAATAGTTTCTAATTCCTATAAACAGTTTCTAGGTTAAATAAAATTATTTGTCCAATAAAGAGTTTCTAGAACTAATTAAGAGTTTCTAGGCCTAGTAAATAAGTTTCTAGGCCTAATAAAGAGTTTCTAGGCTATAAACAGTTTCAATAAATAGTTGTGTCCTAGCATCACATACATCATAAAACCAGTGTATTACTTTTAAAGCGATATATGATGTTTTCAACAATTTTAATCAATTTAAACTCTTTTTGAAAAGGGTGAAAAATGCCTTCAGTTAATGAAATGCGCGGAATTCCATTGTTTTCGTTCCGTTTCCGAGTTGGGGACGGCAGGTAAGTAGGTAGGTAGGTAGGTAGGTAGGTAGGAGGTAGGTAGGTAGGTAGGAGGTAGGTAGGTAGGTAGGTATGAGGTAGATAGGTAGGAGGTAGGTAGGTAGGTAGGTAGGAGGTAGGTAGGTAGGTAGGTAGGTAGGTAGGTAGGTAGGTAGGTAGGTAGGTAGGTAGGTAGGTAGGAGGTAGGTAGGTAGGTAGGTATGAGGTAGATAGGTAGGAGGTAGGTAGGTAGGTAGGTAGGTAGGTAGGTAGGTAGGTAGGTAGGTAGGTAGGTAGGTAGGTAGGTAGGGCTGGAGGGAGGTAGCGAGAGAAGGTCCTGTATGCAAATGAGCCCTTCCGTTGGCTCTATTATTTTATATTCACAATGGCCAACTTTTCTCTTACCTCCTGTTTCCTCATCTCATCCCTTTACTCATCTCTCTCTCTCTCTCTGCTTTATCACCTTCTTTATCCTCTCTCTCTCTCTCTGCTTTATCACCTTCTTTATCCTCTCTCTCTCTCTCTGCTTTATCACCTTCTTTATCCTCTCTCTCTCTCTCTGCTTTATCACCTTCTTTATCCTCTCTCTCTCTCTCTGCTTTATCACCTTCTTTATCCTCTCTCTCTCTCTCTCTCTCATAAAAATTTATTAAATAAACACTTACAACCTGGATGGATACCCCATGCATAACAATAAAATATACGCTAAGCTTTTGCTTATTTAGAACCACAGATTAATTTGTGTCACCCGGTGGACTCAATATGTCTTACTCCGGTAAGGATTCCTGGCCTGCGTTCGGCTCCAGGAGACATTGTTATGCTCTCTCCTGAAACACTAACATTATCTCTCTCTCAACTCTTGAAGCAAGCCTCGTAATTTATGGTCTCTTGGTGATGTCGCCTTTTTAGGAGTTTTTCCTGTCGCCGGATGGGGCATAGGTCTCACCCCTCGGGCAGAACGAACTACTGAGTATGTATACTGCTGTATACTGTATGTATAGGGTATTCTTTTCCTTACTGGACGTAAGACTGGACCACCGAAACTGATACTGTATTCTTTAGGGGACTTGTGTATGTTTGTAGGACGCCTGCTTTAGTAGAAGGCCCAATAAAACATTATATTTCACGATGAACCTTCCCTTTCCTGTGTGTGGCGATGAGTCACAATAACGTGGCTGAAGTATGTTGACCAGACCACACACTAGAAGGTGAAGGGACGACGACGTTTCGGTCCGTCCTGGACCATTCTGGACCATTCAAGACTTGAGAATGGTCCAGGACGGACCGAAACGTCGTCATCCCTTCACCTTCTAGTGTGTGGTCTGGTCAACTTCCCTTTCCTCCCGCAGGATGAACTGGCGGCGGTACAGCTTCCACAACTCGATCTAATTCTCTTGTAGACGTGACGCTGGTCCCACCTCTCACGCTGTTATGTCTTGTCTTCGGCAGGATGGTCACATGATGGATCCGAAGGAGCGGGTGTTCCTGGAGGCGGCGGAGCGCGGGGACAAGCACACTATGATGCGCTGCCTCTCCCCTCCTTCTGCCGTCAACGTTAACTGCACGGACATCCTGGGACGCTCGGCCATCCAGATCGCCGTCGACAACGAGAACGTGGAGATCGTCGAACTCCTCCTCCTGCAAGAGAACGTCAAAATCGGTTAGTTCCTCTCAGTGACTCTTGTTAAAGTTGATGTTCACTCTGTTGTGTTCGATCTATAGCGACGCTTCACATTGTCGCCCTCATAACCCCCTTGATCTTATATTGTTTGGTGAATTAAAGCTGTTTTAAAAACAATGGAGCGGAATGGATTGTGAATGCGTTAACTGTGAGCCACGGCTCTCTCCTGCTACCCTCCGACACACACACGCGTCTCCTGCTTAACTCGTTCCTTTTCCGGCGTCTCCAAGGAGGTGGTGGGCCCCTGTCTCAGAGTGAGTCTTGCTCCATGGTTACCGCGTAGCAGCGCTCTCTCTCTCTGCTCGCCCCAAGTGTGTTGCGCATATCTGTCTTCTCTTGTTCCTGCTAGTGATGCTCACTTAGCCTCCCTGACTCCAGCACCCCTGCATGTAACGCTTCTGAGTGAACACACACACACACACAAAACAAAATCACAATAGATCTGTCGGTGGGAAAATCTGCTGGAGAAATGCATCTGGTATTCACTTGGACGGTGGCTCAAATGATTGCTCCAACTGCTTCGCTCTTCGCTGGTGAGTGGTAGTGTGGCATCATCGCTTCCTTGGGCTCTCATGGAGGGTCCAGATTCGCTTGAAAGTTCGAGTACTCGTCAGTTTGCAAGTTCATTCACCTAATTTCATGATATGCTTGATGCTATGGATGGCGACTCAGGTGGGGCATGAACGAGAAGGTGTGTAGTGTGGAGGAGGTGCTAGACCAGAGGCTTCATTGCCTGTAGAGTGCTAGAGCAGAGGCTTCACTGCCTGTAGAGTGCTAGAGCAGAGGCTTCACTGCCTGTAGAGCGCTAGAGCAGAGGCTTCACTGCCTGTAGAGCGCTTAACCGGCTGCTTAGAGACCCGCGGGTCCCCATTTACCAAGTCAACGCTCACAGCATACTCTATTGCCTAAGTTATATATAAATAAATATAAATTAATATAAAAACTAATAACTTAAAAAAATAATCAATACTGTACATATATAAAGTTGCAGAGAATGTTGTGGCTAAGATCACAACGTTTGCAAACAACTGTCTGGGCGGCGTAACTCTTGACGTCATTGATCCCTTTTTATCTGATGCATCCCTCTTCATCCTGAAAAAGAGGGATGATGGGATGAGAGCCACTACCATGGGTAGCACCCTCCGCCGCCTCCTTGCCCAGGCCAGCTGTCAGGAGTCTCCATATTGAAGCGGACGCCAAGCCTCCTAATTTAGCTGAGGGAGTCCTGCAAGAGGACCTCCTCTTGTTGGACCAGTGAGCTGAATATGTGGTTCCTAGATGAGGCACCTTAAATCCATTCTTAATCCATGGTAGTGTGAGATCATTTCACGCGGTAAGGTCCGTTTTACCCGAAGCTTCAACTATTTTGCACACTGACAGACTACTGCTTGGAGCAGCGCTGGGCGGCACAATACTTGCCGTTCTCCAGTGGCTCCCTCTGGAGGAGGGAGGGAGCCACTGTTAATGTTAATGTCAGAGTGCCTTGTGCCGCTGTTGCCAATTTATGGTTGTTCGCGAAGTTGGGTAACAAAGACCATAGACATCTTTCCGGTGCTGAAGATCTATTGACCAGTTCAACCGGACTGAGCAAGAATAGCGACGAGTCTTCTCTCATGGTTCTCTACCTCGTCCAGAATTCGGTGAGGTGATGGGAGGCCATCCAACAGAGAGGCGCATACTCAACATGGGAGCAAACTTGTCCTTCATGTAGAGTTTTACAACCCCTGCTGTCGAGAAGATATGAAATGCGTCTTAGAGCTGTATATTTTTTTCTGTTCAACACTGAAGAATTGAACTTCATTCCCCAGATATCGACTTAATTTTTCCAACCATCCATATATCTGTCATAGACTGGACGTCAGGTAGTCTAGCTCATCTCTCTCTCTCTCTCTCTCTCTCTCTCTCTCTCTCTCTCTCTCTCTCTCTCTCTCTCTCTCTCTCTCTCTCTCTCTCTCTCTCTCTCTCTCTTTCTCTTTCTCTCTTTCTCTGAGTGTGTATGTGTATACTCATCTATTTGTGTGTGCAGGATCGAACACATTAGCTGTGTATGCATGTGTGTGTGTGACCACAGCCACCAGCCGGGGCTACAAGCAGCAGTGTACCGAAGGAGCGGACAGCCAGGTGTAGAACACCAAGGGAAATGGACTCCAAGTACACCAACATCCCACCTATATAAAGGAGCTGCTTCTAACATCCCACACAGACCTTTTAACATCCCACACAGACCTTTTAACATCCCTCCCAGACCTTCTTACATATCCACGCCCCTCTGCACACACTCTGAATGCAGCGTTTCTCTTATCAAAATGGTATTTTAACATAGCATTACAATTTTGCAAGATTCTGTGGTGTTCTGCTATGCTGTGATGTTTTATAGATAGATAGACTACGAATGCCTTGTAAATAATAAGTTTTAAATTCTCTCCTTTTTATTCATTTCTAAGTGTTTGCATATTGTGGTGGATTTATATATATATATATATATATATATATATATATATATATATATATATATATATATATATATATATATATATATATATATATATATAGTGAATTGTTGTAGGATGTAAATAATGTTTTGGTGTTTGGTCTTAAGGGATTTGTTTACGGGAAAATTATAAATTTCAAGGTCCTCTTCCAGAGAAAATGTTTTAAGGTTAATGTCAGATTTTTTATTCCTCGTAATATTGGGGTAGTTATTTATTGCTTATATGTTCCACTCCCATCTTCTCTCTCTCTCTCTCTCTCTCTCTCTCTCTCTCTCTCTCTCTCTCTCTCTCTCTCTCTCTCTCTCTCTCTCTCTCTCTCTCTCTCTCTCTCTCTCTCTCTCTCTCTCTCTCTCTCTCTCTCTCTCTGTCTCTCTCTCTCTCTCTCTCTCTCTCTCTCTCTCTCTCTCTCTCTCTCTCTCTCTCTCTCTCTCTCTCTCTCTCTCTCTCTCTCTCTCTCTCTCTCTCTCTCTCTCTCTCTCTCTCTCTCTCTCTCTCTCTCTCTCTCTCTCTCTCTCTCTCTCTCTCTCTCTCTCTCTCTCTCTCTCTCTCTCTCTCTCTCTCTCTCTCTCTCTCTCTCTCTCTCTCTCTCTCTCTCTCTCTCTCTCTCTCTCTCTCCACTCTCCTCATCTCTTACTTCCTTCCCTCCTCCTCTTCCTTTGACCGCCTTCCTCGCCTCCACTTCTAAAGCTTTCTCTACACAAACGTTTTCATAATTTTCTTTGAATTAGAACGAACTATAGTGTCCAGTATCATAATTCATTTTTTGGCTGTTATTCTCTCTCTCTCTCTCTCTCTCTCTCTCTCTCTCTCTCTCTCTCTCTCTCTCTCTCTCTCTCTCTCTCTCTCTCTCTCTCTCTCTCTCTCTCTCTCTCTCTCTCTCTCTCTCTCTCTCTCTCTCTCTCTCTCTCTCTCTCTCTCTCTCTCTCTCTCTCTCTCTCTCTCTCTCTCTCTCTCTCTCTCAGCAACGTTCTTTGCTTACCTTCCATATTTCAGTCTTTTTTATCACACTTTATTTCGTATGTCTCCCGCGGAGGCTTTGAGCGGTGATAAACCCCCGTAATGTCACCTGAGAGAAGGGGTTTCAACACTCTGGATTAGAGTTTATTGTCACCGGAAAAAGGCTTCAAAGCTTCCTGGATGAGCGTTTAAAGTAGTGATACAGGGGTCTAGGACGCTCGGGCCGGACGCTTCTATCCTCTATAGTCTAAACAGATGAGTTTCGCGGTTCTGAGAGGGAATTAAAAATTGAGATAGAATTAAAGTCTGGGGATATAGAAGGGGTTGATATTAAAAGTTTATATGGATAGAAATTTAAGACTTATAGGTTGATTAAACCTTTCTTTCTGGGTGAGTAAACCTCTAAGATGTCATGAGTTAGTCTACTGACTCACCGGACCGGCTTCAGTACTCATTCACCCACCATGATATCATCGGCGTATCTCTTTGCTATGGTGGTGGCTCAGATTCAGGCCCCTGAATCCACACATTACTCATCGCCAGCCAGCTGGTGGATGTTTACAGATCCACCAAAGGTCTTGTTCCTTACCAACGCTCTTACTCATCGGTTTCACAGTCGTTGCAGTGGTTGCAACCTCTGTGTTGCACTCTACACGCCCTGAAGACGATGTTTCTTTTTTCTCTGACTCACTAGCAGAAACGATTTAGTAAATTCACACTTTTACACAGGTTACTGTACCCATGAAGCTTACAAAACCTGCTCTGTAACACCTGTCTGTTTACAAGGCAGGAGCTGCCAACACCTGTCAGTTTACAAGGCAGGAGCTGCCAACACCTACAGTTTACCAGGCAGGAGCTGCCAACACCTACAGTTTACCAGGCAGGAGCTGCCAACACCTACAGTTTACCAGGCAGGAGCTGCCAACACCTACAGTTTACCAGGCAGGAGCTGCCAACACCTACAGTTTACCAGGCAGGAGCTGCCAACACCTCCAGTTTACAAGGCAGGAGCTGCCAACACCTGTCAGTTTACTAGGCAGGAGCTGCCAACACCTACAGTTTACAAGGCAGGAGCTGCCAACACCTCCAGTTTACTAGGCAGGAGCTGCCAACACCTCCAGTTTACCAGGCAGGAGCTGCCAACACCTACAGTTTGCAAAACAGGTGTACCAACACCCACAGTTTACAAAACAGGTGTACCAACACCCACAGTTTACAAAACAGGTGTACCAACACCCACAGTTTACAAAACAAGGGCTACCAACACCTACAGCTTACAAAACAGGTGTACCAACACCTCCAGTCAACAAAACAAGGGCTGCCAACACCACATGACCCCAAACCAATTATGAAACAAACTATTAATTAATGTACTCATATATACACACATACCGTTCCAGGATACAGTTTTATTGTGTTAATTGTTCAAGTTAAAATGGTTGACTGTGTCTAGGGTAGGCTTAAATAGGCAGGTTAACCTGCTACAGGCCGGGCTCCTACACCAGGCGATCAAACAGTGGAGCAGAGCAGTGCGCAGGCTCGCCCTCTCCCCTGGTGGAAAGTTGAGGCCATTCTCGGAAAGTTGATGGGAGTTGAAGTTGTTTCGGGGAGGCTGGTGGTGGTGATTAGTGGTGGTTGGGGTGGTTAGCTGTTGGCTGTTTGTGGTGGCTAGTAGATAGTGGTGGTGGTGGTTGGGCAATGTTTACATATTAGTAACTACAAGGGAGTTCTAGCTCCTTATGCCCCACCTACCAGCAGTGTCGAACATGTTGCGTTAAAATTGAGCTATTCTGTCGCTCAAATTCTTTGTGAAATATGGCCTCAGAGCTGTGGATGGAGGTGGCTTCCAGAGCCTCTCTCAGTGTGTCCCAGTTGTTGACCCTTTCTCTCTCGCGACTTAATTGCATTCCCAGCTTCCACCTGCGTCCCTCGATGTCCAACTGGATCCCAATTTAAACAGGGAAGCCCTTGTCTATCTTATCTCTTAGTCTGTAAACATTGACATGAACGAGCTCGCTTCTTGGGAAAGGTTGTTTACATATATTATGAACACCAGCGGTCCCAGGAACGAGTCTTGTGGGACCCCTAATGTGACACATCCCTCCAGTTCGACTCCTCCTCTCTGTCTGTGACCCGCTGTTTTCTGTCAGGTCACTAGTGACAGATCACTGACCTTTTGACACACACATCTTGCCACCACATCACCAGGTGGAGTGGTTGGTCTGGGAAACCTGACAGGTAAAATTGCATCAATTTCACACAGGATGGAAGGAGAGGCAGGTAAGGTAGGAAACGAAAGGAAGTGAGGAACACGAGGGAGAATGGAGGCGACAGAGACACGAGAGAAGGATGATGGAGATAGAGAAAGAAAGATTATTTTGAGGGATAATCACACAGGGAGTTCCTGATGTGTGGAGTACAATCACTCAGGCGGCTCCTGGTGTGTGGAGTACAATCACTCAGGGGGCTCCTGGTGTGTGTGGAGTACAATCACTCAGGGACTCCTGGTGTGTGTGGAGTACAATCACTCAGGGACTCCTGGTGTGTGTGGAGTACAATCACTCAGGGACTCCTGGTGTGTGTGGAGTACAATCACTCAGGGGGCTCGTGTGTGTGGAGTACAATCACTCAGGGGGCTTCTAGTGTGTGTGGAGTACAATCACTCAGGGACTCCTGGTGTGTGGAGTACAATCACTCAGGCGGCTCCTGGTGTGTGGAGTACAATCACTCAGGCGGCTCCTGGTGTGTGGAGTACAATCACTCGGGGGGCTCCTGGTGTGTGTGGAGTACAATCACTCAGGGACTCCTGGTGTGTGTGGCGTACAATCACTCAGGGGGCTCCTGGTGTGTGTGGAGTACAATCACTCAGGGACTCCTGGTGTGTGTGGAGTACAATCACTCAGGGGGCTCCTGGTGTGTGTGGCGTACAATCACTCAGGGGGCTCCTGGTGTGTGTGGAGTACAATCACTCAGGGACTCCTGGTGTGTGTGGAGTACAATCACTCAGGGACTCCTGGTGTGTGTGGAGTACAATCACTCAGGGACTCCTGGTGTGTGTGGCGTACAATCACTCAGGGGGCTCCTGGTGTGTGTGGAGAACAATCACTCAGGGGCTCCTGGTGTGTGTGGAGTACAATCACTCAGGGACTCCTGGTGTGTGTGGAGTACAATCACTCAGGGGCTCCTGGTGTGTGTGGAGTACAATCACTCAGGGGGCTCCTGGTGTGTGGAGTACAATCACTCAGCTCCTGGACTTCTGAGAGCCAAAGTTAGGGCCACAAAGAGTTTGTTGACACTAGTCTAGATTAGTTGGTGAAACTTGTTGGCCCGATTGTGGCCCCTGGCTTGTGTGTGGCCCCTAGCTTGTGTGTGGCCCCTGGCTTGTATGTGGCCCCTGGCTTGTATGTGGCCCCCTGGCTTGTATGTGGCCCCTGGCTTGTATGTGGCCCCTGGCTTGTATGTGGCCCCTGGCTTGTGTGTGGCCCCTGGCTTGTATGTGGCCCCTGGCTTGTGTGTGGCCCCTGGCTTGTATGTGGCCCCTGGTTTACATGTGGTCCCAGACTTGTATGTGGTCTCCCCGGCTCTTAAACGACAATTAAGGAGGCACAGAAGATTCCATAGTGCGGCTTGTGTTGCTAATCGTGTAGTGTTAGGCAGGAGGCAAGCCATGGCCTCCTGGAGATCAAGGGGCCAAGCCATGGCCTCCTGGAGATCAAGGGGCCAAGCCATGGCCTCCTGGAGGTCAGGAGGCCAAGCCATGGCCTCCTGGAGGTCAGGGGGCCAAGCCATGGCCTCCTGGAGGTCAGGGGGCCAAGCCATGGCCTCCTGGAGGTCAGGGGGCCAAGCCATGGCCTCCTGGAGATCAGGAGGCAAGCCATTATATCCTTGACGACCCCGTGGCCTCTGTAAACAATCTTCAGTTATCGTTATTAAGTTTCTTCAGTTTTCTTTCTTCATATAATACTCAAGAGATTTTTTAGGGGATTCTATATTAAATCTTCCCCCTTGTATATTTACAATTAATTTTAAATCTTACTTTAAATGGGTGCATGTTGTATGATTTTGAGCAGTAACTTTCGTAAATACCGAAGTTGTACATAGTTAATTGTCCAAGCAAATAAGGCTCACAATGTGTAGTGATTAAGTACAGTATGTTGTTATCGTACAGTTGTTAATGTGGGGTTGAGTTATGGTAGCAAGTTCTGAACTGCTAGGACTCGTTAAGTCTGTTAGGGTGTTAAGTTAAAGGAGATGATCGTTTTCTTATTTATATAAGATTGAATTATCATTCTTATTGCAATATAATTAAAATGTTACAAGGTGTAATAATGATAATTAGAATAATGTTATAATTAAAAATAATAGATATGGTAATCCTTAATAATAAAATTAATAATATATGAAATTAATAATATTATTTTAGTTAATTATGATGCTAAAATGCTTTAGTTTTATTTATAATATAATTTATTATTACATATAATAATATTCTGTAGTATATTAACAGCAGTTATAGGGTATGTAAGGCGATAAGTAGAAAGTTTTCAAGTATAATATATAATTATAAGTGTACTACTCTTCTCAATATAAGTACACTCAGTGTTCTGTCCATTGATATTATTCAAGATGGAATTAAAGTGTATTTACTTTATATAACACAAAGCTATCCTGGTGGCCTTAATAACTCGCCAGAGGTTGATGGGCCATAAGTGCTCACACCAGGCTGGTTAAAGCAGCGGCCGTCATCCCCAGACGCATTCAGCAATTATAACATACTGCGAGTTAAAAAATGGTTTATTCTCATATATAAATTAATATTATTATACATAAAAATTCGATGTATAGTTAGGCGTAGGTTAGGTTAGGTGTTTAGGTTCTGTTGGCGATCATTTACAACCCGTCCTCTGACTAAGTCCATTCCATCCAGCGGTCGACCCCCAGACGCATTCATAAATTTTTACATGTTGTTCATTCAAAACGGGAATTTTCTCATATATAAATTAATATTATAATATATCAGCATGTTGTGCATATATAGGCATAGGTTAGATTAGGTATTTGGGTTCTGTTGGCGATTATTTGTAATTGTAGTACGCGGGTGAAGCATTTACAGCGTTGTGATTCGAACAAAAGTCGTCAGTGAAGCACTTGTTCCAGAAGTGTTCGAAGGAAATCAGTTGTGAGTCGTGTGTAAACCGTTTTTCATTCATAAACAAGGAGGGGTTTGGCGGCTGGATTAACGAGCTTGCATCTTTGTATGCGAGGACGGGCAGAACTCCAAGGCCAAACCCACGCGGGTTCACAACTACAGCCTTGTATCAAACCCGCAGCCCGGCCCTCATCAACAAAGAACAAATATCCGTTAAGCTCTCCGTGTTTATCAATGAAAAACACTTGACACGCGACTTAAAACTAAATGATGTATGTGCGTTTTTTCCGAGTCTTCTCCTTGAATCGCATCTCTTTTTTTTTTTTTAGTGCTTGAGTAGTGTACCTTACCTTGAGGTTACCTTGAGGTGCTTCCGGGGCTTAGGGTCCCCGTGGCCCGGTCGTCGACCAGGCCTCCTGGTTGCCGGACTGATCAACCAGGCTGTTGGACGCGGCTGCTCGCAGCCTGACGTATGAGTCACAGCCTGGTTGATCAGGTATCCTTTGGAGGTGCTTATCCAGTTCTCTCTTGAACACTGTGAGGGGTCGGCCAGTTATGCCGAAATACTAAATCCTAACCTGTAACCACCTAGGCAAGCCCTAATTATTCAACACATTCTAGTATGCAATGATATGCATTTATATTTGAGAAAAAACTAATTTTGAGTACGCAGTTCATTAAAATGGACGAATACCCGGCTATGGGATCGAACGCTGGATGGAATGGAGTTGATCTGAAGACGGGTTGCATGAGGACAAATAGGGTATCACGTACAAGCCTGAATACCCTATTTATACCTTAAAGGGAATCACCTCCTTATTAGTAATCTTGAAAAAAACCTAAATAGTAAGATAAAACAATCCTGAGACTTTCAAGATGGGGGATTTATCGTCAATGATTAATAAGAATAAGACTTGATCGTATTTATTTTTGTATTTAACATCTGTTTATTGACCGGGTACAGGTGACGCCTTGCTGTACGCCATCACAGAGGGCGTCTACAAGATCGTGGAGATGCTTATCAATCATCCCAGCATCACTCCAGAGATGCTGGCCAACGACTGGGTTAAGGTCAGTCTAGAAGTTAAGATTTAAGTACGTTTTTTGAGAACAATTTAAAGAAATGTTACAATTATGATAGCTAGAGATAGGTCTATTGGCTCCCCCACACGAGGCAGGTGTGAGTTAGTCGTTATTATTTTGAAGTACATAAATTAGAAGGTGGCTGTGGTCATTGTGATCTTCCTACAGTGTAATAAGGGCATTACACGCGCAATAATAGATACATTGTTCCAGTAATATCTCTGAAGCTTGTCTATCCAAATATAATTTGACCTGGTGGTTAATTCGGATGAATCGTAGACTTGAATAGATTAAGGGACCATTTAGCCCGCATAATAATTGTGGGTAATTTGCATATGTGTAATTGCAGCCACAGACAAGTCACATATTGCGGAAGTCTTTTAAAAATGATGTATTTTCCATATCAGTTTGTCTTGTTCTTCCCTATTACACAGCCACGTGGATGTTTTACATCCATCTCGTCTGCCCTCACTCATGTCTCACCAGAGCACTCACTGACTCACTCAGCCTCACCCACTCATCAAAATACTCATGCGTCACACACACACACACACACACACACACACACACACACACACACACACACACACACACACACACACACACACACACACACACACACACACACACACACACACATGGATGTCCAGTTATTACGTTACCAATTCGGTGCATCTGGCAATAGCTCTGGAATAGGGCCGGATGCCATCCTCAGCATGCTGGGTGGGGCCGGATGCCATCCTCAGCATGCTGGGTGGGGCCGGATGCCATCCTCAGCATGGTGGGTGGGGCCGGATGCCATCCTCAGCATGGTGGGTGGGGCCGGATGCCATCCTCAGCATGCTGGGTGGAGCCGGATGCTATCCTAAAATATCCGTTCTTGTGGGCCATTTTCGCATTGACCCTTATTCTGTACGCAACAATAAACTCCCATGATGTAGGCTTCAGAAGTCCCAATGTACTGTGCTACACCATTTACCAATTTATGTGCTACAGTGAACCCCTGTTGACTGTGCTACATCAGTTCTCATATCTTCTGCTACAATTTCTTTCATTCCCAGTTCGCCGTCTTCCTTTGACCTTTAGTTCCCTTGAAGTCTTCTCTGTTCCAAAGGGTCCTGTTTCCTGTTCACCTACTGACCTATACTCACCGTGATCCCACTGACCCCCTACTCACTGTGACCCCACCGTGACCCCACTGACTCCCTGTGTTACAGGTCCGTGCTGGGGGAGAGGAGTCGAGTGACTTCGACCCCAACATCTCGCCCATCATTCTTGCCGCCCACTGCAACCAGTTCGAGATTCTTCAGCTCTTTCTCTCCCGAGGTGAGTTCGAAGGTGATTACCTAAGTGTAGTTACAGGATGAGAGCTACGCTCGTAGTGTCCCGTCTTCCCATCACTCTTTGTCATATAACGCTTTGAAACTACTGACGGTCTTGGCCTCCACTTAGAAGGCCAAAAGGTGACTTTACTGCCTGCGAAATGAAGTCAACATCTTCCACAGTGTCTTGGGCTTGTTATTGTCCGGGACAGGAAGCCTGGTGGTCTTTTGACCATGATTTGTTCCCCCTAAAATATATATATGTACATATGCCCAGGAAGTCCTCAAGCCTAGTACACGTATTTAAACAGTGGATCTCCGGTTCAAAAACACTGCTAGGCCTATGAATTGGCAGTCCCCATGATGCTACCCACAACAGTTGACTTACTCCCAGGTGTACCTATTTAACAATCCGGGAATCGAACCTGGGTACTAGTCGATTGTGAGCCAATCACTACCGTCTGTATGTATGACCTAACGTTGTATAATGCAATTACTGATCGTGCATTTCTATGAATTTATGTTTAAAACAAAAATACGAATGATATACACTAGGTATATACATCCAACTGTTTACCTATAATACGTATTTATGCTTGTATGATGGTGAGCTGTGGTAGTGAGTGTGTGAATGTTATCATGAGGATACCCTTCGTCACGTGTAACCCGTTTTCTTCGTGTCCAGTCATCGACGATTGTATAGGGGAGACTATTCAAGAACTAGATATAAATGCAGCATTCAGTGGTCGTATTAGGCGCCCGCTTCTGGTCAACTACCCTCCACACCTGTCGACGATCCCAGACACCGACATTCCGTCGTCTGCTGTTGGCATCGCGTGACGTCTGGTGTCACTCTCAGATGTCTGGTGTCACTCTCAGATGTCTGGTGTCACTCTCAGACGTGTGGCGTCACTCTCAGACGTGTGGCGTCACTCACAGATGTCTGGTGTCACTCTCAGACGTGTGGCGTCACTCTCAGATGTCTGGTGTCACTCTCAGATGTCTGGTGTCACTCTCAGATGTCTGGTGTCACTCTCAGATGTCTGGTGTCACTCTCAGATGTCTGGTGTCACTCTCAGACGTGTGGCGTCACTCTCAGACGTGTGGCGTCACTCACAGATGTCTGGTGTCACTCTCAGGCGTCTGGCGTCACTCCCAGACGTCTGGCGTCACTCTCAGACGCCTGGCGTCATCTTACAATATAATGTTCATTTGGTTCATTTGCTGAGGGTGAGTATACGTGGTATAGCTGGGTATACATGATGTAGCTAAGTATACATCATGTATACCTAACTATATTCACCTACTGTAGCTCAGTGGGTAAATGAATGTACATAATAAATGTATTACTAATTAATACAGATCAGCAATAATGTTATACATGCGTTCTTAAATACACATAATTCATAGCGAGATATGCATTCCCACTTGAAATGGTATATACATATGTATTGAGGGGAAAAGAGGTACTCACTTTTCTTGTGGGGATGGGGGTTGAGCTTCAGCTCTTTGGTTCCACCTCTCAGCTGTTGCGTACAGGTCCATGAGTCTATTGAGCTCTGGTGTATATGTCTTTGAAACTATGTGTGGGGTTTGATTCCTAACAATAATGCTGTAACACCCATTAATATTGTAGCGCCTATTATAAACACAGTCTCGTACAGTGCTCAAACAATATAATCCGCGAAAATTCGATTAAACATGTGACTCGAATTTCAAATTGCGCGGGTCAGCTGATTTGGAATCGGTTACCTGAATAAAAATTTGAATTTGAATTCACCCAGCAGCGCCTCTAGATGCGTCCATGCCTCAGTCGTGACGCAGCCGTCGTACAGGTCGGCCGCGTCTGTACGAGCGCTAAGCGCATGTCGTTTTCACAGCCATTTAATTAAGGAAGCGGCCCCATATCGCTGGCAAAATTCCTTCCAAGGGCTGAACAAATTCAGAAAGAGCCTCATTTTGAGGCTCAAGATTACAGCCTTGAGTGGAAGAGGTTACAGAGACACATATAATAAGCAATTTTCGTTCCAGAACGTTCTGTCGTTCGGTGTGAATAAGACTGATCTCAGGAACAGTAGGCACTGGTCTCAGGAACAGCAGGCACTGATCTCAGGAACAGTAGGCACTGATCTCAGGAACAGGAGGCACTGATCTCAGGAACAGGAGGCACTGATCTCAGGATCAGTAGGCACTGATCTCAGGAACAGTAGGCACTGATCTCAGGATCAGTAGGCACTGATCTCAGAAACAGTAGGCACTGATCTCAGGAACAGCAGGCACTGATCTCAGGAACAGTAGGCAGTGATCTCAGGAACAGCAGGCACTGATCTCAGGAACAGTAGGCACTGATTACAGGAACAGTAGGTACTGATCTCAGGAACAGGAGGCACTGATCTCAGGAACAGGAGGCACTGATCACAGGAACAGTAGGTACTGATCTCAGGAACAGTAGGCACTGATCTCAGGAACAGTAGGCACTGATCTTAGGAACAGTAGGTACTGATCTCAAGAACAGTAGGCACTGATCTCAGGAACAGGAGGCACTGATCTCAGGAACAGGAGGCACTGATCACAGGAACAGTAGGTACTGATCTCAGGAACAGTAGGCACTGATCTCAGGAACAGTAGGCACTGATCTTAGGAACAGTAGGTACTGATCTCAAGAACAGTAGGCACTGATCTCAGGAACAGTAGGCACTGATCTTAGGAACAGTAGGTACTGATCTCAAGAACAGTAGGCACTGATCTCAGGAACAGCAGGCACTGATCTCAGGATCAGTAGGCACTGATCTCAGGATCAGTAGGCACTGATCGCAGGAACAGTAGGCACTGATCACTGTTTTGAAGAGTGAAATGCTTGTTTGATGAGGCTATTATCAGTGAATTGCAGTAATTTTGAAAGCTCTAATATTACACTATATAATTTTCTGCTCAGGGAATTACATATACATTGTGTTAAATGTAAATAGATAAATCATAGACATGTATAATTTTGTCTATCACTGAAACTCAAAGGCATGTATGGGAGAAAAACAGACAAACATGTACTTGGACATATTCTCTCTCTCTAGTCAAACACAATAGAGGTCCGGACACAACTGAATGTATTCCTGTATAAAACTCATTCAGTGTAATTGTTCATATTTTTGCATTTTCAATTTTCATAACAATGACAGTGGGATCTGTTATTTTTCCCCACAACACCATAAAGGTACTTAGCTGTAATTGAAAGTGTATTATGAAAGGGAAATGGAAGGGGGGCGGGCTCAGTTTTAGCGTGAGGAAAACAAAAGCTGTGTTCTGGCCCTTTACCTTGTGATTTAAAATATATAAGCATTGAATTGTATGGTAATGAAGAGGAGTGGTCTCTATAGCTCTGTTACTCGCAGCCACTACCACTATCACCCTTCACTCACCACCACTACTGTCACTCACTGCCACCACTATCACCACCACCTGACAAAATTAACTGAGTTCTACGACAGTTAATTACTAAATTAAGACAGGAAAGGGAATTAAGACTATATTGACTTTCGAACAAATCCACAAGGGCCGTGACGAGGATTCGAACCTACGTCCGGGAGCATCCCAGACACTGCCTTAATCGACTGAGCTATATTGACTTTTCCTCGATTGTCAAACAGCTTTTGACACAGTTCCTCGTGAATCTCTAGTGTTCAAGAGGGAGGAGCAGGCTGGGATAACTGGTTAAGACACTGAAAGAGGCAAGAGAATATCTACAGGGCAGAAAACAGAGTTGCAATTTAAGAGATGAAGGTTTCGAGGTAGAGAAAGGTAACAGCTGGAGTTCTCCAAGGGGAGGTGTTAAGGACTCTCACTGTTCCTAATTTATGTGAACGACCTACCCCGAGGGAGTGTGGTCGTACATGTACGACCATGTGGTCGTACGACCATTAATTCAAATCAAACGAGGCATGTAAAACCCGAGGAGGATTGCAGAAGGTTACAGGAAAAACCCTGACAGACTACAGGAGTGGGCAAACAAATGGTTGCTAGAATTCATTCCCAAAACGTGCAAGGTAATGAATATGGGAAAGGGAGAAGGGAGACCAGAAGGTATCTACACCATAAGGGGAGGGAAGGCAACTGCAGGAGTCAAAGAGATCATTATTTGCGAGTGGATGTAATTCCAACACTAACTCTATAGGCACACATAAACTGGGTAACATCAGCAGCGTATGCTATGCTTGCAAACATTAGAACGTGGGTTTAGAACCGTAAACCAAGGTAATCTACACAGTCTATGATAGAACAATATTGGAATATGCAACACCGGCCTTATCCGCACCTTGTGAAACATGAAACCAAAATTGAAAAAGTATTTATTTTTTTATTTATTTATTTATATATATACAAGAAGGTACGTTGGGATTGTGAGGATACATAATATGGTACAAAGTACAAAGGTATGCAAGTAAGTACAAAGGTATGCAAGCAAATTAGTGCCAGAGCTAAGATATGAGGATAAGTTAAGGGAGCCAGACATCACATCCCTGGAGAGAAGAAACGGGGACATGATCGCAACATACAAGATGCTGAAGAGAATTGGCAAGGTGAACTAGGACAGCCTCGTTAAAGTGAAAGAAAATAATACGAGAGGACATAAGTGGAAGCTGAAATTGCAAATATGTGGAAAGAATGTAAGGAAAATTCTCGTAGCCGGTACTGGTGGTCAACAAGTGGAATGCACTGAAGGAAGACGTTGTGGAAGCCGCCTCCAGCCACAACTTTAAGGCCAGATGCGACAAAGAACTTGAACGTCAGAATAGTTCAATTATAACACAATATAGGTACAACATAGGTACAACGTTTCTGCCCGAAACGCTGCGCGTACTAGTGGCTTTACAAGATTGCAATTACCATATTATGTATGCTCACAATCCCAATGTACCTTCTTGTATATGCATAAATTAATAAATAAACAAGGCTGGTAGGAAAGGGGGGGCATACAGTGTTAAACCCCCCACCCCCCTCGTAATCACT